TGAGTCACTGATTGTTTTTCTGTGCTGCAGGTGGTTTGGATGAAGCTTTATACAATGTAATTGCGATGGCCAGGGAGCAGGAGATCCCGTTTGTGTTCGCCTTGGGCAGAAAAGCTCTCGGACGCTGTGTCAACAAGCTGGTGCCCGTTAGTGTTGTGGGCATTTTCAACTATTCTGGAGCTGAGGTAGGACACTCATGTCATTTTAAACCTTTATCCACATAATCTGCCCAAGTTGGTGATGATGATGAGCTCTCTGTATCTTTTTGTTTGTTTGTTTGTTGTTGTTTTTAAATGCCTTTCTCAGGGACTCTTCAACCATTTAGTTTCTTTAACCGAAGAGGCTAGGAAGGCCTACAAGGACATGGTGTCCGCTCTGGAGCAGGAGCAGGCTGAGGAGGCTCTGAAGAATGACAAGAAGGTCCCTCATCACATGGGGCATTCCCGCAACCACTCTGCTGCTTCAGCCATCTCCTTTTGCTCCATCTTCTCTGAGCCCATCTCAGAGGTTAATGAAAAGGAATATGGTAAGCCCTGTTTCTGTTTCTTTACTATTTGTTTTATGTTACCAGTGTTATCAAAGAACCTCTTTGGCAGTAGTAGCTGTTTGGAGTAGAGTTCTGTTTATCTAAATGTACAGTATACTAGTTGTTACAAACCTAGGTTTAAAGGTCGAACAGAATTTTCTGTGGATAAATCCTGGGGATGGTGAGATAATTAATGGGGAAACAAGGTAGGCAACACTAAGGTTTAGAGAAATATGGTTGTTTTCTTCGACTTTTCATTAATTTAGACTTTTTTCCTGAATAAAATTCAGATAGTTCTATTTGGAAGTATTAACAACTCAAACATGTGAAAGGTTGGGGACCACTGGTGTAATAGATATTGTGTAGTTTATTGATTTACTTTCCTCACCTGTAATGTTGGTGATCTGAGAAAATGGACCGTGTGGTTGTATTTTTCCTTCAGAGACCAATTGGAGGAGCATGATGGAGACTTCTGATGCCCCAGAGCCTGTAGACAGCGAGCTGAGTCGCCCTTCACCCTTAACAGGCACCCAGAGAGACAGTCAGGCCCCGCCAGTTACCAACAACACCGCCCCTCTTGGCGCTACCGTTCCCCAGCCCAGGGCTCCGGCTCCAGAGAGAGATGAGGTCCGAGCTGACGACAGGCTGGAGCTGGCCTCTCAGCAGAGCACAGAGACAGGCTCGTTGGATGGAAGCTGCAGGGGGCCGCTGAACTCATCCATCACTTCCACCACTTCCACCCTGGTTCCTGGGATGTTGGAGGAGGCTGAGGAAGAGGAGGATGAGGAGGAGGACTACACTCCTGAACCCATTTCTGTAGAAGTGCCCACCCTGAGCAGCCGCATTGAATCCTGGGTGTCCAAGACCCTGGAAAACCTCCAGCTGGGAAAGAGCCAAGAAAGTACTGAAGAGGAGGAGGAAGAGGATGGAGAAGAGAGGGTACAGAGTGAGGATGATGAGGACCTTGATTCAGCAGAGATCACAAAGACAAAGATGGAAGGCAAAGAACAAGCGGAGGCTAAAAAGCCCACTGGTTGAAATCACTTACACACGTACATTCCCTCCCTCTCACACATCCCTCTTCACAGCAACCAGCAGCCCTCCTCCTTTGTGTCTAGCCCCTGACACAAGTCATAATCTCAGGTATCCACCCAGCTGACCAATGCTCTCTCACTCACTCACACACACACACACACACACACTCACACATTACAGAGAAACTGACCAACGTAAAACCACACAGTCACAGACCAAACAGCTAACAAAGTCTGAGGGTTATAGATTCACACCAAAACTCATCTGATGATTTTAAAAGGATGCCCTCTTTATTTTTCTTTTCATTTTTTTTTTTTGGCCCCATAACCTGCAACACTTGAATATAGGGTGGAGCGTTCCCTCCTCCACAGCTGAACTCTTTCAGAGTCAGGAACATTTGTGGGAGCGAGCAATGAGCGCTCAGTGACGTTGAGCTGGTGTCTGCAGCTCACAGAGGAGGAAGGTTGGAACCTTTCAACTCACATCTTAACTTTATTCAGAGCTCGGAGGGTTTTCAGCTCTGCAAGTATTTGTGTGTTTGCGTGTGCGCTTTGGAGGCACAGTTTGCATTTATTTTGCTCTGTCCTTTGGCTTTAGCTATGTAAATAATGTGTGTGTTTGTGTGTTTAATTTCACCTCGCTGCTCCAGGAGGAAAAGAGAGAGAGAGGGCGTTTCTTTATAACTGCTTAGTTGGCAATTAGCTTTCATCACCGAATATTACAGTGTCAGGGGTTCTGTCTTTGTACCAAAACCACTCCCGCGCATCAGTTGTCTGTGTTTTTTAATGTTTAAATAAATAAGTGTCTCATTCTGTATTCAGATGATTTAAATTACTTAACTTCTAAGAAGCAAATCAAGCTTTGTGAATATAACCTTGTCTAGGTGGTTCTACTACAATATGTAATGTTTTGTCATATTGATCTTGCCTATTGTCAAATGATTTGGGGTTTGTTTTCCTCTGAATGGAGTCCTAGTTCCTAGATGCTGTCCATGCTTCATAAAAAAAACAAAACAAAGAAAAATGCTCCTGTTTTTTTTCCACTCACTTGTGTTCTCTGATGGTGGGGCTCTCAAGCCGTCTCTTACCAAGGTTCCCAGCATCATTATCATCAACACTGAGATCTTTAATCAATCCCGGAAGTACATTTTCCCTAGTAAATTATGAGACACAACTTGGTTGTTACTTTCTCAATAGTAAAGCACTGAGCCTGTGTGTGTAGTTTACAGCTTCATGAAATAATTGGGAAACTGGATGCTGGAAGACAAACGTGTGAACTAAAGAAATTTGTCTTTGCCCCCCCCCCCTCAAACAACATTTAAAACTAAAATCCTCAGTGCTTCACTACCGCTAGTTAAATAAGTCATCACCAAGTCATGCACATGCCTTTGTAAATATAATTGTACAAAGGAGATTTTGATTTTGCATTGTATTAAAAAATACAATCATCCTGTTCTTCAAGCCATTTGGTGGGTTAAACATTGTAATAGTTGGAATCCAATTAGATAAAAGTATTCGATCGTGAATCATGGAGAGGTGTTGGCCCGTCGATAGTGATGCAGTACGTCAGGCTGTATGCAATGTGGAGATGGGACGCGACGGTGTACTGAATATCATACTTGGGATTTTGAAAGTATTTCTAGTTTGATTCAAGGTACGCTGTGTAGGCATTTTTTTGGTATGACTTCCATCAAAGTGTTTAAAGTATGTTATTTGACAGCAAATGTGTTTTTTGCACTATGTAAATACAGTACTGGTAAAGGTCTTGTAACTAATGTGAACAAAGAAAAAAAAATGGTTCAATGAAGTACTTTTTTCAGCGTGTTCCTCATCTTTACATGGATATTTAAGATGGTCTCCTTAAGACTGTACATCATTAACAGCATTGTTAGAGGCTGTTTCTCATTACCCTGTTGTCATTCTTAACCTATGGACTGATGATTAACATCATTAAAATGTTGTTTAAGAAAATCTTCTGACTGGTGCCTCATCTTCTCTCCTTTGTTAACCTAATTTGGGTTTATTTATAAAGAGCCAAATGTGTGTTCTTTCATAAACACATGCAGCCTGAAGATCCCCACAAAGAAAGAAAAATGATCACAATAACAAGGTTAAAAGAACCAAACACTAAGTTTTCAACCAATAAAAGATGAAAAAGTCTAGAAATTAGATTAGTTAAAAGTTCAAATGAATGCCAAATGAATCAAAACACTGCACAAGGGCTGAAAAGGAACAACAGAATTAATCCGCTATGAGTTTCATAATAAAACAGATTTTGCTCTTGTGGTCGTAAAGGGATGGACATGTTAGCTGCTGCTGCTGCTGCTTCAGGGTTCAATATGTTGTGCATTCAGAGATGCTCTTCTGCATACCTTGGTTGTAATGAGTAGTAATTTGAATTTTTCTCAGCCCAAAGCAGTCTGGCCTCTTCTCTTCTGACATAAATAAGTATTTTCTCCCACTGAACTGCCGTTCGCTGGGTATTTCCCCTAGAAAACAAAGTATTCTGATTCTGATTTTCTCTTTTTAAGATCATTCTCTCCAAACCCTAGAGCTACACTGATTTGCTGCAGCGTGGTGGTTGCCATAAATGTGCAGTTGAACAGAGCTACCAAACAAAGCAGCTCCGAGCTTATAGTTAACAGACCAGCTGATTACTGAAAAAAGTGGTAGCAACATCATATAGATTGTAGTTTTAATAAACGGCCACTAGGAAGGGACAAAACTCTGCCGTAGACATCACTCAGATTTCAATATTGCATACTCTTTGACAATAGCTAGTGGTGTGTAATTATTATTTTTATGGAAAAAGGTAAAGCTCCATGGTTTAAAATGCTTTTACTGTGGAATTTGAGAGTATGGCTGCACCGTTGCAATCTGAAAGACAATCTTTCAATCAGGAATAACACCAGTATGTAAAACACTGTTTAAATGGCGCCTGGAATATTGTTCTGATCGGGATCAAAGGGAAATGCAAATGCTTCAGTTAAATCCTCTTCCTCCTGTGTGTTAATTTGAACAATACAGTCACTATGGGGTACATTTTATTGTGTAAATCATGTCAGTCATGGTACCAGTGATAAAATGTTATTTTCCAAAGTAAGCCAAATTAATGATAATTTATTTATAAAACATCTCTAAGGTGGAAGTCATGTTAGAAGAAAGGAATGGAGCACTGCTTCAGTGTAATACTGAGCGTGAGTGTGTGTGTGTGTGTATGTGCACAGCATGAGTCACCCTGCCTGCCTGTGATTGGATGGTAATTTATGGGTGAGGGAGGAGAAAGAGAGCCTTTGGGGGCCGTCTGTCAATCTCTCCTCTGCTCCATTCACACATTCATCTGCATGCAGCGTCATGAGAGAGACAGGGGAAGTGAGCGAGATCTCATTCATAAAAAAAGAGAAAGTTCATTCATACACGCTGCACAATCCTGCTGCGCCTCAGAAAGAAAAGACAGAGGGGAGGAAAGTTGATGTGAAGGTGAAGCTGGGAGCCTGGCAACTGACTGAGGAAGTGTGTGGGTCAGTAGGATGGGGCTGTACTCTGCATGACTAGAGTGGAGCAGACTGGACTCTAGACTTAACAGGACATCCCAGAGTCCTACAGTGGTGAGTTGAATCTGCACAGCAGGATTCCCTTTAAATGATCTGACGACAGAGCGCACCCGACACAAAGATAGTTTTCAGACGCTCCTGAAACCTGATGTTATTTCTTCATCTCCTTTTACCAAAATCTTTAGTTAAAATTCCTTAATGGTGACCTGAATTTTCAAGTTTCCTTTTTTTTTTTTTTTACATTTATTTCAGCGTTCTCCTTTGCTCTGTTTCCTGATTATGAGAGAGCAAACCTTATCCAGGTTGAAATCACAGACGGGACTCCTACCAGGCAGGTCGCTTAATCAGTACAATGAAAATCACAGTGCGGCTGATTTGATTCTGACACTTTCTTTTTCATCTTCTACAGGTATGCTGAAGCGTACTAAATACAGTCGACTGCGCAACGATTCTCCAACATCTCTGGAGGAGAACCCCCAGGGAATGTTGCCCCTGAAGCAGGACCTCTGCTTAGACTCTGAATTCAGTCAGCTGGGACTTGGGATAACTACACACCACGGACCATCCACCCTGAGGGATTTCATCCCCCGCATGGCCAACATCCGACTGCAAAGCCCTATTTCCCGGCAAGGCCTAAAAGGACAGACAGACACAGCCAGAGGCAGAAGCATCAGTGCCCCTACTGACAAACCCTTGTCCAGAACAGAGTGGGGTTCAGGAAGTAATGAGAGATTTTGCACTCACGCTTCCCTCAACGCTCCCCTATCCACGGGCCAAAATCTAATTCACCCTGCTTTGCTCTGCACAAAAAGACCTATCACCCTACAACGGATGGCAAGCCTTCCTTGGACCCCTGGATATCCTCCCTGCTCACATCACAGAGGTGGTCTGTGCTGTGTGAAGATTTCCTCTGCAAAAGGTGATCGTACAGTGGTGGGGACAGGAAGCAGAGCAGTTCACCATCACATCAAGGTACCTGACCCTGCACATGTGCATGATCAGATAGAGTAAACCAACATTCTACTTGCCCAAGTAATTCATATTCTTAATTTTGTTAATGTGTGTAAAATTCTTTGTGTGTAGAAATTACCAAAATGCTGTGCAAGCTCCTTTTCTCTGTACTATGCAAGTCGTCATGACCTAAAGACATGCCAGATTTCAGCAGTGTTAAATTACTGTTTACTTAGTGCCACGGCCAAAATAAATACACACACGTGAACATAGAAAATACACATATGCATACACTCTCTGCTCTATCCACACCGTCACACTCACAGTCACTCCCCTCCTCAGTTAGAGCCTCCTATGTAGGCAGTAGTGACTCATCCTAGCTCTCTGCTTCCCTCCAGTTCAGTCCTGCTATGTGTGTGAATGCATGTGCGTGAATATATCTAGTATCAGCATGCTGTCCTAGAACAGAACCCATCTTGCCCCGATGGCAGAGGTGTGTCCACACAGGCCTGTGAGCTGACCACTGGTGGAAATGAGAATGGACTGTCTGATTGACCTCTATAAACAAGCACACACATATGTTTCTTCTGCCCGCTCAACCCACCCATGTATACATATATTGATTTAAGTCTGGTTTTTATCAATGGACTTACTCATCCTGCCTCCAGCCTATGAGGTCTGCGATACTGAATTTCCTGCCCAGTAGAAGTGGGACTCGTCATAGTGTATTTGAGCACATGGCCTGAATATTGCCTGGTTGCTTCTCTGTCTTCCTCACATCTATATAGTCTGATAAATTCAGTTACAGTCAGACACATGTCAACATTTACCTCAACTCTGAGTTGTCTGGCATTCTAATAAGCTAAAGTAAGACTGTAAAGATTGTACTGGCTACTTGTCGCATGGTTAGAATCTGCTGACAGGTCACACATTAAAATGTAGTCACAGCTTTTACTTTCTGCTCACTTGCTTTGCTTAAAACTGCCATCTTGCTTTTGCTTTTGTAAGCTTGAGACTTACTTATTTCTCGGGTATTCCAATCAAAATTTGCTACAAAGATTTTAAAGGTTAGTTTTGGGCAGTAATAACTCAAAGTAGCAAATCACTGCCTCCGCCAAGGACTGTGTGCCTGTCATTCAGTTTTAATTTTTAAATGTTATTTATAATGTTATTTGTAAGGTAAAGACCCTACAATAATACAGAGAAAACTCCAACAACGAGCATGTACAGGAAGAAAAATTCCCTTTAAAATGGAAGGAACTACAAACTTCTTAAACTAAGAACAAATATAAATATACACAGAGTACAACATTCCCTTTAAAGTAAATACTGCACAGAGAGTGAGCTGCCTTAGCAGAGGTTTATGCTTTCAGAGGTCTTCTTGTTTTGTTTTGTATGATTTTATCAGTCTTTGTTGTGGAAGGATTTTGACCCACTCTTCTTTGTAAGGTTGCTTCAGTTCATTGAGGTTTGTTGGCATTCGTTCATGCACAGCTCTCTTAAGTTTCCAATACAGCATTTTCTGTTGTGTTGCATTCTGGACTTTTGGTTGTTGCAGCACTTTTAGTCTTTTCTTTTTCAGCAATTCTGTTGTAGATTTGCTGCTGTCCTTGAGATCATTGTTCTGTTACTTCACCCAATTTTGTCCAAACTTTAGCTGTTGCACAGATGGCCTCATATTTGACTCCTAAATATCTTGCTATACAGAGGAGTTTATGGTTGACTCAGTGACTGCAAGGTGTTCCGGTACTTTGGCTGCAAAACAAACCCAAATCTTCACCCCTCCACAGCTGTGCTTGACAGTAGGAATGAGCTGTGTTTGCTGATATGCTGTGTTTGATTTTTGACAGTCGTTGTGCATCATGGCCACACATTTCTGCTTTGGACTTGTCTGGCCATTGTCCCTAATGTCTTGCGGTTTTTGCAGATGGAACTTTGCAAACCTAAGCCACGCTGCCATTTTATTTTTAGAGAGAAGAGGCTTTCTCTTGGCAATAACTCAGAACAAACTTGTTCAGTCCTTTTCTAATTGCACTGTCATGAACTTTAACGTTTCACATCCTAACTGAGATCTGTAGAACCTGAGATGTAGCTCTTAGGTTTGCCGGGACATCCACTCCCTGGAGTGACATAGTGTTAACATAGCTGAATACTCCAGACCAGCAAACTACCAAAATGTCTGGTTTTTTAGTGGTGGTCACACTTCCAGATGATCATTTAATTAAGCGCATTTGATTAGCACCACCTGCTTACCTTCTTAATGCCAGTGGAAGCAGTTAAGGTGGAGTTAGTTTTTCAGTGTCCTGTGAAATCTCTTTAAGCATCACTTAAAGAACCCTGGGGTACTTTCTTCTGAATAACTAAAATACCTTTATTTTAATAGCATGGTTATATATAACCAACAGACAAACAAAAACAACAACTCCAGTGTGTTTCAGAATACATTCCTTAAGAAGTTAAACCGATTTCAGGAAAACAATGACATAATTTGGATATGAACTTTAAATTTCTGCTCTGCGTATCTAATTTATTGATTGTTTTCAAACTAGCATTTCCATCCCGTCTCACGTGTTCTATTACACTTTTTTTTTAAAACAAAATTCCCATTCCCAGCCACAAAACTCTAAGAACGCACATGGATGGAACTTAAATGACTTAAACACAATGCATAAAACCACTTTCTCTCTCTATCAGCTTTCTGGAACCTTCTCGAAGGCCCAGTTATTTCCATTCCTCTTGACTCGTTACAGCTATGTGTAAATCTATGTTGTCTGCCGCAAATCAGCTCATGAACTTTTCACCTTTTCTGCAGAATCATTTTCTTCCATCATAAAAACTAAAAGTGAGGATGCAATAACAGAAAATTCATGAAAAGTGACCAGACTCCTGTAAGAGTGTTGTGTTTCTTTAATATATTTTAATTGTTGTTGAAAGTGCGCACCTCAGAGTCCTCAGGACTCTGTTGGATGTTCCTGAGACTTTTATTACTAGTATTATTATTATTATAATATATTTTTCCATTGTTTTTTTTTCTGTGTGTTTTTCTAGTACATGGGTAGTGTGGAAGTGACCCAGTCCATGAGAACCCTTGACTTTGATACAAGAATGCAAGTTACACGGTAGGAGGTCCTCTCTGCACCCCTTTCTAACAAACACAAACAAACACAAATACGAATATATACATCTAATGATATAATACATGAACGTATAATACATGCAACATAATCCTGACTGCAGGGGAATGCCATATATGGATTAGGTGCTGTTTCGCTTGCACACAGATGAGGAAAAAAAGTGAGCAAAATTGCTTTATCCTGAACTCATTTAACATATATTTGCCAAGCTAACCATGTGTAGCTTATTTCAAAAATGTTTCAAAGAGGGAAATCAAATTAAATGTATAATATTTCATAAACGGGGCTTTCTCCTCATCATTTGATATTGAAATCCTAGTGCAGGATGCCATAACACAGCCCTCTCTGTTTACAGAAGCGCTGTTGAATGATGGAGCAGAAAATCCAATTAGATGAATTTCCTCCTAATGATCCCTCAGTCTTATTAAAAGAGAGAGAGGGAGACAGACCTCAATCCAATTCTTACAATGTGTTTTCAAGAAGAAAAACGGTCTTCCTGGAAATCAGCATTGCTTCCTAGGTAGTGGGATGTTCCATTCGTGCGCGTGGGGGTGTTTTTTTGCTTTGCCCTCGCTGACCCAAGCGTCAGAGATACAATCTCAGCTCAGATTGACTTGATAAAAAAAAGAAACATACCAGGAATATTTTGAAGTGTTACTGCTTTAACACTGCAGATGGAAGTTTGTGATCAGCTATTCTAGTTATGTTTTTTTTTTGTTGTTCTTCTGTAATTTTTTCTTCACTACAGTGATTATTGCAAGTTATCCTTAAAAGAAGGATTTATAAGTTACAAGAAAACTGAATTTGTAAAAAGCTAAAAGCAAATTAACAAAAACAACATCTTGCAACTAGTTAGACTTCTTAAAAATAAAGATGAGGAGGATTTCGTAACACTGTAAAAGACCACGTGGGCAATGGCAAGCAGCGCAACAATTTAATAATGTTTCTAAATGCAAAATTGCAAAGAATTGGAAGATTTCATCATATCATTAAAAGATTCCAAGAATCCAGAGAGACATTGGCGAAGGACAAGGCCAAAAACCAATATTGAAAGGGTGTGATCTTCAAGACCTCAGGCAGCACTGCATTAAAAATAGACAATACACAGATTTTATAGTGGAAATCCATGTGTGGGCAGCTGAAACTCACTGCTAGTGTAGACAGTTTGTGTCCTGGTCCACAAATGCAAATTGAAAATATGCCATACAATTAAAAACAAACTAAGAAACAAACAAAAGCAGTTTAAAAAAAAAAAAAAAGATCCATAAAGGCCGCTACTGTACCTTCTTTAAGCCAAAGCTCATTTAAGATGGAGCGCAGATCACCTGCCTCCATCTCACCCTCCATCCTCCTTTGTCATACCAATCTGCATGTCCTCCTTCACTACATCCCTGAAACTTCTCTGCAGTCTTCCTCTTTTCCTCCTGCCTGCAGCTCTATCTTCAATATCCAGTATATCCGCTATACCTGCCCTCTACTCTCAGTACACATCACAATGTTGTCTGGAAACAGTGTAGTCCACAGAGACTCCTGCCTGACCTCATCTGTCAACCTGTGCGTCATCACTGCAACCTCAGGTCTCAGAGCTGATCCCTGATGTAATCCCATCCCAACCTTGAACCCGTTTTTCCCTCCAGCTGCACACCTCACCACTGTCTCGCTGTCTAACCTGCTGCACATCCTTTCCAGCTCCATCTCTCTGCCTCTGCCAATTTATACAAGTTTTTGAATCTTGCATACAACTCAGTATAAGCCTTTTCCTTTGCCTTTTTTTACTTCTCTCTTTCCTCCCAGTGCTGCTGTCCACTTTCTTATTTCCCCGATATCCCACTTTTTCTTTGCTAATCTATTCCTTGGAATATTTTCCTGTACTTCCTCATTCCACCACCAGGTCTCCTCGTCCTCTATCCTCCATCCAGAGAATACACCAAAGACCTTTTTTGGACTTTCCCTAAGTACTACAGCTGTTCCATTTCCTGTCATCTGGTACCTCTTCTCAACCGACCAACTCTTTCAACATTCTTCTTTCTTTCTTTCTCATTTAATCCTTGGCTCTGTCTTCACAAACGCTTTTTCTTGATTTCCAAAGTAATCATTCAGACTACTAACCAATGCTGCCTGGCACATTCTCCCCTGCCACCACCCTGCAGTCTCCTATCTCTTTCAGGTTGCAGCTTTTGCATTAGATGTAGTCCACCTGTGTTCATCTTCTTCCACTTATATACATTACCCTATGTTCCTCTCTTTTGTTGAAGTACATGTTTACCACAGAATATTAACCAAAAATTCAGAAAAAGTTATCAATTGACTTGCATGTAATTGAGTGAAATAAGTATTTAATCACCCAGCCAGAATTCTTGCTCCTACGATTAGCTGTGTGCACATGTAACACACAGATTACAATCAATTACGGATACTCCTGATCTCATCTTGTTACGGACAAGACCAAATACCTGTCAATGGACATCAGGGACAAGATTTTAGACCAGCACAAAGATGGAATGGGGTACAAGACCATCAGCAAGAAGCTCAGTGTGAAGGTGACAACTCTTGCTGCGATTATTCAGAAATGGAAGAAGTTTAAAATGACCGTCAGTTGCCCCTGGTCTGCAGCTCCATGCAAGATCTTACCTCACAGGGTGAGGATGATCCTGAGAAAGATGGCGAATCAGCTCAAAACTACACTGGAGGAGCTTGTTAATAATCCTAAGACACTTGGGACCGCAGCCACCAAGAACACTGTTAGGAACACACTGCGATATGCAGTGGATTGAAGTCTTGCAGCACATGCTTAACAAGGCACATGAACAGGCTCGTATTAAGTGAACATTTAGATGATTCAGAGAAGGACTGGGAGAAAGTGCTGAGATTGGGGGAAGAGAAATGCTGAGCATGTGTGCAAACTTAGTGACCAACTACACAAAATGTCTTATCAGTGTGCATGCCAACAAGGGTTTCTCCACCAAGTACTAAGTCATGTTTGGCTTTTGAATCAAATACTCACAGTGACATGCAGATAAAAGGATACCTTTTGTGTAATATGTTGGTTTTTTTTTTTTTGTTGTGTGTACTAAATGTACTCCAAAACTAAAGTAATAAAGTATTGCATTTGAGTAAGTATATTTGGTTACATTCTTCCAGCAGTGCATGTATATGTGCTTTCTGTAGTGTAGTTTTCTTCCTCTCACATGCACATCACATGTCCGCAGGGCACACCAGATCACATACAAAGGTATCTCTGTGTTACTGTGTGCATGTGCTTATGTACATGCTGATCTGTGTCTATGTGTTTGTGTGCAGAGAGGCAATCAGCAGACTTTGTGCGAGGACATTGCTCAAAACAGCAGTGAAAACTAAAAGGGTAAGGCTTGTGTGCACAGACAGGCACACACTCATACTCACACACTCTCTCTTTCTGCCACGTTCAGCTGGAATAACAGTGGTTTTTGTCATCATTAGCCTGTTTGCAAGGGACTGTCTTCTGTTCTGGGTCAGACAAACCTGCAGTTTTCTGGAAGAAGGATCATCCTCACTGTCTCCACCGACAGTATGACTCTAATCGCTGCCTCGTCCTTACAGGTGACAGTCTCAGCATGTTAAACCCCATCAAAACAGCCTCATGTCAGGTTTACTGGCAAACCTATCTGCTATTGTATCATTTCCTCTTTTCTCTTTCACAGAAGATTGCCCACCACCCCATGCAGACCATTTCATTTGCCTCCGGTGGAGATTCAGTATGTTCATATTCTCAAATCTTTCCCCTTGTACACGTTGATGATCAGATAGGGACACAAACAGGGTAGCAAGAGCACAATCACACACACACACAGTGAGTAATTTGATTTAGTCTAATTATTGCATTGGTGTACTACCATTTATGGAGGATTAAATCATTTCCTGCCTCAACTCTTGATCATTCTGCTCTTTTAATTAGTGGTACAAGGTCAGGATCTGAAAGCATGCTACAAATGAAACTTCAGACTTTGGCAAAAATGTCTAAACATTCCCTTGTGATTAATTTTAATGAATATGATTTATGCAAAGAACCTCTGATATTCAACAGTATATTATCCCCAGCATTCAGAGCGTGCTGGGGGTATACTGACCTTTATTTTGTTCAATTTCATTTGGATTCTTCATTCTTGGGAGTGTGTCACGTGAATGTTTTGCCTGTTTCAGAAGCGAAGCCTTCCAGAAAAGTTTGACAACCACCTCCTTAAGTGTTTAAAGCTTGTTGGTACTATATAAAAGAGCTGGCAAATGTAAAGAAAAAATTTTATTTAATGGGTTGTTTCTGCTAGAACTGTAGCAGTGATTAATCATGTGACTGCTTGTGAGTTTTCTCTTAAGGATTACTCTTTCAAGTCTGAGTCATTTAATAAATGTGTCTGTTTACGGTTTTACCCTTAATTTGGCTCATTGTAAAACTCTTGAATGTAATTCTTGTGCTAATTAATTGCTAAAGGCGACAAATCATGAAATCCTTTGCTGTGACTTATGCACTCATCAGAGCTAACTGCCTTCATCATCTTTACACCTTGCCAAGCGCTTATCAGACTAATTACTCAGGTCTATTCTTCTTAATTTGTTTCCCTCTGTGCGCACATATATCCACATGACAGGATTCAAGTTATTTGGCCTGAGTGAAAATTTCCTGTGCCCTAAAAATGTGTGCAATGAACATAAAAATCAATGCAGATCTGTCTGTAGGGCATGTGGTTATTAGCTGCTGTCTAGGTCAAACTGCATTTTGGTTGGCCTTTTAGTTCAAACACAGATTCACTACAAATCATGTGAAGAAATATACACTGACTAAAGATGAGAGAAAATAAGAAGGTAGTTACTCTCTGGGAAAGACAACACCAGCAAAGCTGTGGATGGGATTATAGCTCACTGTTTTTAATTAATTAGCCATACTAATCTTGTAGTGTGCTCTAAGCCTCTGCTCAGCTGGCTTGGGCACATGAAAGATAGCAAAGGGGAATTAAATTCAGTCTGACACAGAAGCTTTATGGTGAACCATATTCAGCTTACTGTGCTCTTGTATTAGGCTGAACTCTTCAGACGAAGCGTACACGTGGATGAACATTAACTGAAAATAATGGGTGAAAATATAAATTGAAATTGAGCTTTCCACATGGAAAAAGTCTATCGAGTCATTTTTTGCATTTATAATTTATAATCATGCCTTTTATTGTGTTTTTCTCTCTCAATTTGTTTACAGGACATGGCAGATTACATTGCTTATGTAGCTAAAGACCTTGCCAATGACAGAGGTATGAGAGAGAGTTTGCTTTGAGCTGGCCTTACACTCAAATTTCAATTTACTGATTGTTATGAAAATAATGTTTGACTTTTGCTCTCTATGGCAGCCTGTCACATCCTGGAGTGTCCCGAGGGTCAAGCCAATGAGGTTATCAACAGCATCGGTCAGGCCTTTGAGACACGCTTCCGCCACCTTCTCAGCCAGACACCATCGGTCCTGTCCACCAGTTCCAGGTTATAGCTCTTACATGTATATATGTGAATACATATATATATATGTAT